CAGGATTTTGCCAGGCAGTGAGAGCAGTAATGTGCCTGGGGGCATATAGGAGGCCAGTCGCACTAGGGAGCATACACACTTTTCCCCAGGCCCAAGCCAACATTGAGCCTGCCATCGGGGGAGAGAAAAGGGCTGCCAGTTAATCGGGATGTTCAGGGAGAATGGGGCGGAGATGAGCTAAAACGAGTCACATCACATCAGCCTGCTGAGCGCCACCCTTTTCCAGTCCATTGCACCTGTGAGGAGTTTGCTAACGTTGACTCAGGCTTTAATAACAACCTCTGCTGCTCAGACTGGGCCGGGTTTCGTTTGTGCGTACTTAATGCTTACAATCATTACTCTTACTCAGGCCCCTGGAAGGGGCTGCCTGAGGCAGCTGTGACTGGTGTGAATGTAGGAGCTCTAATAGACGCATCGGTCTGCACAGCCCCAGGAGTGATAAATACGCTGTTCCCACCATGGCCTGCTGTCTGTGCCCACTCTTCTGCTGCTGCCTCGGATTGGAAGCTGAAGGCATCTGTTACAGCCTAAAGACCTAGCTGGAGAACGATGGTGTATTCCCAAAAACCATCAAACACAGATACTCAGCTGCCCTCCAGAGAGTCCCATTTGCAAATTGATCAAGTGCCCAGAGCTCTTTAAAGTTTTGCTAAATCCTTTCTCAGCTGAAGAATTTATCCCATACAGTGACTTAAACGTAGAACTTTTCTTAGATGCCCAGTACTTAGATTTGGTGGAAGGTAAAACTCTAGCAGGGAATTGACTGCAAGCTTAGATTTTATTAAGGATCTATTTTTAACCCCTTCCAAAACAGGCACAGGACATTCTATGAAGGAGCCATTGTACAGTAGTTGCTGTTAAACATATAATGCCCTATATTGTACATTCTGTAGCATCTCACTGGTAACACTGGGCCAATTTCTGTCGTCAGACATGCAGGACGTTTATATCTGAGGGAAGAATTTGGTCCATAGTGATGCCCTAAAAGACACATCTCATGACAGGCTGGGGGAGCGGTTTATTTGACGTAACACATTTGCAATGCAAAGATTGTGGTGCTTCTGAAATCAGACTCTTCCCCTTGTTGTTTTACTTGTGTTTTTCAAACAGAGCTTGAAATACTGTTTGACTTTCTTTTCTGGGCAATCTGATTTGCTGTCAGAATTACTGTCTCTTATAGAAAATTGAAATGAAAACATCTTTTCTCCCCTTTACCTTGTGGCTGTTTTCTTTTGAGTAGTTTGGAATTGCCAAGGTGCAGTGAGCACTTCACTTAGGTCAGGCATTACATTAAGAGATGGGGGGAAAGCAGGAAGGGTGGAGGACCCGGTGAACTTAAAATCACTTCAGGGTTGAAATTGGGGGGGGGAGGGGAGAGGATAGATATTCTCCCAAGCTCCACCCACAAGCCAAGCTCCGCCTCCTTGAGATGTGAAAAGGAAACACTGCTCACAGTACATTGTACATATGCTCAAAATATGCTCAGGTGGGGTTCTTCGGGTAGGCTCCCCACGCTGGGGTTCGAATGTCCCACTGGGCTCTTCAGGAGTGGATCCCCGTGAATGGTGCTCGGAGGCCCGCCTGGGCTTTGCTCTTCCCCTCTGGCCTTCTAGTTCCACAGGTCAGATTTGGAGTGAGGAGTGGGGCAGAGGAAGCTGTGATAGCTCCACTTGTGGCACTGCTATGAAATGTCAATCAGAGCAGATTGTGCAGAGCATAGCAATGGGCTCCTTACTCGCCTTTCTTACGTAGGTTCAGGCAGTAGTGAAATATTTAACACTGTTGACATTTACATTATCTTCACTGGTAATCTGAGGTAACATGCCTTTGAGATACATGGGCCAGTTCACATCTCTCAGACCTATTGGTTCAGGCTCTCTGCAAATAGAGGCAGGCAGAACTGTGTCAGTTACAGAAGGTTTACCTCTCAGCCATTAGGGATAGAAGCATACTGTCCTGTATTTTTAAATTATTAAAATGTTAGGTTGAGATTCTGTAAAACAATATGCCAACCCCCTATCACTGACCCAGTGCAACCTAGCCCAATTGGAGCTCTGAAACCACCCCAGCAGGCACCGTTCTGCTCTATGTAATGCCTGCTCTAATTTACATAATCTCCTAATGACCATTATAACACTAACTCCTAGCTTTTATCATCAGTAGATCTCTCAGTGCTTTGCAAAGGAAGGCAGTGTGGTTATTTCCATTTTACAGATGGGGAGACTGAGGCACAGAGTGGCAATGGGCCTTGCTCAAGGTCACCCACCAGGCCACTAGTAGAGCTGGGAACAGAACTGCCATCATCCAGTTCTTGAGCCTCTCGTCCACATAACAGTCAAGAGGAAGGAAATGCCCAGCCATTCCCACTGTGTGGCCCTCAGGAAGGGGGCAGTGCAGCAAATATTACACAAGCACTACGCAATGAAGGAGCCACCTACCATAAGATAATCCTCTCGTGACCAGCTGTACCAGCGTTAGTACCTCTTTGTGTTGGAGATATGGCATAAAGCAGACCCACACAGACACACACACCCCCAATGGCCACAGATCTGAGCCCAAGTTTATAATCCTGGCTCTATCAGTGAAGCACTGTATGCCTATGGATACGTCACACACCAATGTCTTTGTGCCTCAGTTGAAGGATGTATGAAATGGGGATGACACTAAAGGATTCAGATCTAGGAAGAGCACGATTCATTTTTTTCAACTTCATAAAAGAATCCAACCTATGCTCTGAGCCTCTTTCCCATATTATTACTTTTTGTATTATGGTAATACCTAAAAACCCCAACCAAAAATGAAGCTCTCTGTGCTAGGTGCTGTACAAACACAATAAGAGTCAATCTCTGCCCTGAAGATTTTAGTATCTAAACAGCCATGACAGACAAAGCGAAGTATTATCCCCATTTTACAGATGAGGAATTGAGGTACAAAGAGATTAAGTGACTTGGCGAAGGTCACACAGGAAGGCTGTGTGCCTTAACCACAAAATCAACTTTTTCCCTAAATTAACATCTATTACTATGAAAGGAGTCCCCATAAATACCTATCAAATACCCAATTCTCAGCCAAGGAAAAAAGATGTAATCAATTGCCAAATGTTTATTAATATAAATATGAGGGCAAGGTACCTGCCTCAAAGAACTTTTAAAGCCCTAATCCTGCAAAGAGTTCCTCAGGTGAACCCATGCAGAACTGGGGCCAACGCAGTTACAATTTGGAGGAAAGATGGAAGCAAGTGACAGAAGTGATGTTAACATGCCTTATTGGGTCCATGGTTTCGGTTTGAGCTTTCTTCTACTGGTCACCCTCTACTTAGTTAACATTAAGGGGAGAACTAGGATTGCTAGGCCTTGTTGAAGAAAATAACTCACTTGAAAAGGGACTGTCTGGCAGGTACTTTAAGAATAGGCCCAAAAATCAAGTTGAAAAAAAAAATTGTAAACAAAACCTAACGCTACTAGAAATGGTTTCCTGATCTTTTTAACCTTTGATGAACCTGATTTCTTGTTTGGATTCAGAACATCTCTGCAGTGTTGGCAATGGCAACCCAAACTCTGCTGCATTGGGCTAGTGCATGACAACTAAATTACAAAACTAGCTATAAGCAAGGTTGGAACTGACTAAAGCCCTAGGGTGACCAGATGTCCCGATTTTATAGGGACAGTACCAATTTGGGGGGCTTTTTCTTATATAGGCACCTATTACCCCTCACCCCGTCCTGATTTTTCACACTTGCCCTCTGGTCACCCTATAAAGCTCTGATCCGTTGGGGATTAGTACAGGCACCAGAGCCTGCTTGTGTGGATCTAGTTGCAGAATCGGGGCCTAAATTCATTTCAGACTCTAAGCGGCGAGAAATGCAAAAAATAAACACACAGTAAAGGAAATGGGGAATTAGATT